GAGCGAGCCCCCAGCCCAGCCTGGCGACCGGGGGCCCGGGCTCCTGAGGTGGACGCCCCCCCGGGAGCGCGGGGGTGCCCAGCCCGGCGCGAAGGTAACCGGGCGACAGCGGGCTGGGGAGGGGCAGGACCTCTGGGGGCTTGGCTGCGCGGGGATGTTTCTTCAGCCACCTCGGTCTGTGTGACGCCCCAGGTACCTCCCCCAGTTTCTCCCCTGCCTGCCTCCAGCGCTGCGCTCTGCGGTCCTTCGGCTCTGCCCGTCCAAGTCTTGCTCCTCGCCTCGCTGTGCTTCGCGCTGTCGGTCCGTCACCCGAGTTGCCTCTGACTGCTCGTTTTCTCATTCATTTTTCCTTCTCTGACTTTGGTTCTCCCATCCGAGCATGCTGTCTAGTTAGCCCCGCTTTTTACGGTCCGCTAGGTTCTTCAGCCCCCAATTCCTTGACTTCTGTCTGGCGCTCCCTCCTGCCGCTCTGCCCCTGCTACCAGCACCACATTGCCCTGCACCTTGGGGCAGCTGAGTCCCGGCACCAGCCTGTCGACCTGCGCCCCTTCCGTCTTCGATATGTTTGATTTCTTCGGACCCTCATTTCATCGAGGTTCTATAGAGAACAAGGACCCCTGGGCGTCCACTATTCTCCTGATCACTCGCATTTCTTCGCTACAGTCTTCCCCGAACCACCTCCTTCTCGCGCCCCACCGCTTCCAAAGCCCCATCCTTTCTACGAGATAGAATTTTATGCTCGGGGAAGTTGATTTCCTCCAACTCTTGGCTCCAGTAGATCCAGTACCAGTTCCACGTCCATATCCCTTCTAGTTTTCTTCTAGAAGTCCATGCTCATTCAACCCAACTCATACACACCCCAGTGTTACTTTTGTCAGTGACTAAGGTTTAGCTTTTCTGGGGACCTTTTATGGCTCAAATTCTTGCTCTTTCTTTTCCAGGTTAGCCTTGAAAATTTAAACTTAAACTTTTTGTTGTCTTCATTTTCTGTATTGAATTTTACATGATTGATTTATGTGCCTGGGATCGAACTCTAGTTTTGATGACAGCTTTCTCAGATTTCATTAAAAACCTGAATTTCATCTCTATTTACGTTTCACAGTTTGAAAGACAAAGATAATTTCACTTGGGGGAAATGAGGGGATGCGGTGTATTCGGTTTTTACCTGTGAGAATGCAATTCTTCAATAGTTGGGTCTCATGTCTGTGACTTCGGTGAACTCAGTCCACCGTCTGCTTTAAGCTGTGCTGCCTCTAATCCTTACGCACATTTTTTTCTTCACATGCTGATAATGAAGATTCTTGGGTCTTTATCTGTTTAGTGCTTTGATATTTTGGTAAAAGATATGGGGAGAAGATAGATTGAGAGTTGAAGCAGATAGGATTTCTCCTCTGTGCTGGGTTTTATCCATGTTTGCTGTGACATTTGCTATTCTGAAATGAAACTTGAGACCTGTAGAATTTTGGGGTGATAATGATGGGACTAGAAGACCCTGGGAATGAATAATAAGGAATCTCGACTCTGTTTTCAAGTCCAAGCAGTTTGGTTTTGTTTGCTTCATTGTTTGTTTTGGATGCAATCATTAAGATCCAGGCATACTGATAAAACTACTGGCAACCCTTAGGAGAAATCCTGGTTTGATGTTGACGTTCCTAAACCAAATAGTGCTTGCAGACCTTATATTTCTAGTGGTCCCATGCCTTAAAAAGTAGTGTCTAGAGGGAGGGAAAAAGGTTAGAGAGAAAAAAACTGAGCAGAAATCCTTATGATGCTTTAGTGTTGCTTTGGAAGCATTTTTCTTCTTGCTTCTCATCTCCTGTTTTGCTTGGTTTTTAGCTTTTATGAGCCTTCCTGCAAATTTTAGACCCCACAGGGTAAATTCCGACCACTTGTACTAGATTAAAAAGTTGAATCTTACTTTCTTAGAGATTTTCATTGCGGTATATTTAATATGTTTAATACCTGGGAGTCACTTGTTAAAATGATGTTACTTTCAGGTGAAAAGCTTTCACAATGAGAACTTGGAGAGTAAGGAGGGAAAGTGACACGCCTGAAGTATCGCTAGTAGTCAGAGCCGAAACCAGACAGCTTTGTGGTCTCTGTAGACTGTGGGCTAACTTTTCTCCCTAGTTGTATGGCTTTTCATGATCCAGTGAGCAGGTGTATGTATCTTAACTTCTCCATAAATGAGGACATTTCAAACTGAGTGATATTGCCTTAATTACAGATTTCTCTGGCAAGGCAGCTCGAAGAAGCAGCATGTGCTCATGTAAAGACTTAGTCATATAAAGATCAGGTCCGCTTTTTTAACCTCAAAAGCCCTCATTTCTGTAATTGTAAAGTGGAGATTAATAATATTTACCTTAGAGCACTAGAAGTAATGGAGGTGAAGAACTCAGGAGGCATCTAGTGGCCTCTTAGGAAGTGGTGACCATTGCCAAAGATGATACTGATAATGTTTCAGATGCTGATAAAAATAAGACAAATTTCAAATGGGAAGGTTTTACACTGTTAAAAAGTGCTGGGAGAAGGTGAAGAAGCCCTAGTTTTATGAGGTGCTGATTTACAGACTGGCCATTTGATACTTAAGGACATCGTGAGGGGCTCTGTAAAGAGCGTTTGAGACATTGCACAGCTTCAAAGATGGTTTGGGGAAGATATGACTGTAAGTGTACAATGCGTTTGGTAGCTATAAACCCCAGAAGTCATGGTTATGGAAGAAGAGGAAGATGCTTAGATAACTGGAATAATACCATGAAGTAACAGTCTGTGATTGGGTATAAATTTTAATCCTTTGCTGTTTCCATCTAGGTCTGGAGTCTGAGCACCATCCTCGGGGACCCTGGACAGCTGTCATGGAGACTGAGAGTGAGCAGAACTCCAACTCCACCAATGGGAGTTCCAGCTCAGGGGGCAGCTCTCGGCCCCAGATAGCTCAGATGTCACTGTATGAGCGCCAAGCAGTACAGGTGAGGCTTTGCCTTGGGGGCTGTGACCTGTGAGTATCGGCCTGGGGGGGTGGTGGCTGAGGGGCTAAAAGAGTGTGGCCTCTACTTCCCTTCTAGAAAATGGGGGCAATCAGCTTAGGTAATGACTGAGTTTCCTTCCAGCCCTAAAATATTAGACATTTATAACAGTTTGAACTGGCAAACAGACTAAGATTTATCCTTTCAACTAGGTTATTTTTAATACCATTTCATTGATATAACAAGTTTCTAACTAACCATTTCTCTTCACGAACTGTCTGGTTTCCTTGGGACCTTTTACTTAAATGATTTTGGTTACTAGAATAACTATCACCTCATAAGAATAATTGTTCAAGAGTAAGTTTACACTAAAACTGAATTATCAGTATCATCTTTATCAACCCATTAACATTATGCTATAGATATATAAAAATGCCAGCTAGTTGAAAATTTTGCATCATAGGATATTTCACAAGCCACTGTTCACCGATTTTCACCATTTTCAACCCCGTAGGGCTCTAACACCTGATTATATCCCTAGAATATGTCCTTTTCTTTACATCAGTCAACATCCCATTTATTTTCAACCTACCTAGTCACAGTACGTTTCCCTGCTTTATCGTTTATTTCCAGATTCATTTTGGGAAAAAAGTTTGCATGAATCGCATTCTTTATGTCCAGGTAGAGAGTCTAGGAGATTACTGCTGCCCCACAATCCAAGGGCTATATGAACTTACCGATTCTAATATAAAAATGGACAAACCTGATGTTGATGACTTATCTAGACTCCCCTCGTCCTGTGTTTCTCTCTTTGCCATGTATCCCTTTGATAGGATCACAGTGATTTGTGTAGAGTAGGACTTAGAAGTGACTCATTGCAAGTGGGTTGCTCTCTTTCTCCTCGTAGGCTCTGCAGGCACTGCAGCGTCAGCCCAATGCAGCTCAGTATTTCCACCAGTTCATGCTCCAACAGCAGCTCAGCAATGCCCAGCTGCATAGCCTGGCTGCCGTCCAGCAGGTGAGAGGTCAGCAGCCAGCTGGCCAGGAGGGAGGGGACAGGCACTGCAGGTGGGCAGGTGTGACTTTTGGACTTTGGGCCCCAGTGAATCCTACATTAAGCTCGAAGGGAAAGAGTCTTCTCTGCCTGAAGGAGGGTGAATGGGTCTTGGCTTCTGGGGCTGCAGGAGGAGCAGCAGCAGTAGCAGAACTGCCTTTCCGAGGCAGGATGGCTGTGTTCTAGACCTGCCCTGTCTAATGTGTAGCAAGAGAATGCTTAAAGTGTGGCCAGTTCAATTTGAGATTTGTAGTAAGACTTTGGATTTCGAAGACTTGGTATGAAAAAAAATGTAAAACTTCTCATTAGTTTGTTTATTTTGATGACGTGTTGAAATGGGACATACTGGCTTCACCAAAGTAAATCATTAACGTTAACTTTTCCAGTTTGTTTTCATTTTTTAAAAAGTGTGCATACCAGAAAATTATACTGTGCTCACTTTTATTGGCGGTATTGGATAGCTCAAGCAGGCTGACCAGTGACTCATGATATGACCTCACCAAAGGGGTCACTGAAAGGAAGTAGACAGGGAGGATAGGTTGCCTATTGGCCCCAGGATGGTGGGTGGGTATTACTGGACTAGCAGTGAGTCCTTCACTTCTTACCTGTGGTTTCTGTTTGTGCCTGTAATTCATTACAGGAAGACTCAGACTTTTCTTCCTTGTGTCCTTTTTTTTTCCTTTGCCCTGTGACAGGCCACCATTGCTGCCAGTCGGCAGGCCAGCTCCCCAAACACCAGCACGACGCAGCAGCAGACTGCCACCACCCAGGCCTCAGTGAGTACCAACCTATGGCTTAAACTACTTTTTTTCCTTAAGATTGATTTCTTGTATTTATGCATACAAGAGCTGGGGTGCAGGCCAGAGAAGTGCAGGTCTGGGGGAGGGGTGGTGAGAGAATTCACCAGAGACAGAGTGGGGAGCAGATCTACTGAAATACACCTGTGAAGAGACAGGAGAGTTCTGCTGCACCATGTGGGTCACTTTTCTGGCCAGGGATTGAACTCATGCTGCAGTGGCTTCATAGTGCTGATGAGACTTAATCCCTTGTGCCACCAGGGGAGGTCCTTAAACTATTTGTGCAGTTGACCTGAGAGTGGCATTTACTGCTCTGATCTAGTGCATGTTAATAATAGGGAAAGTAACCAACTTGGATCTGTGTAGTAGTTCTTAATGAGGAGGTCTAAAAAGGAGGAAGGAAATCCTGGGGAAGAAGAGGAAGAAACAAAGGAGAGGGTTTAATCTCGGACCTTTCAGTGAAAAGTCCAAAGGCTCCATTTTGCTCTCTTTCCCTGTCAGCTGTTAGGCTAGTGGTAGGGATGGGTTTCTCTTCGCTAGTAATACCCTAAGTCGTCAAGGTGACAGTTACAGATAAGGAAGTTATTATTCATTTCCCCTGACTCTGTGAAAGTGAGATATTAGGTTCTCGACTGCCTGTCACTGTGCACCTGTCAGTTACGTACCTCTCCTCTTACTGCTTTAAAGTCCTTAATCCTGGTTCCTTTTTATACCACGCAGATCAATCTAGCCACCACGTCGGCCGCCCAGCTCATCAGCCGATCCCAGAGTGTGAGCTCTCCCAGTGCTACCACTTTGACCCAATCTGTGCTACTGGGGAACACCACTTCCCCACCCCTCAACCAGTCCCAGGCCCAGATGTATCTACGGGTAAGCCATAGCTATAGCTGCCATATGTCCTAGAGTCATACTTGTTCTGTCCCTGGCAAGGTCTTGAGTCAAAGCTGTTTTACTTAACTGTGGGTACACAGATGTTTTAAGACGGACTATGCCTTGCCTCTAGAAGTGATATTCAGTATTTGCAAGTATCTGCAGCTTATGTTGAGATCTCAGTTAGAAGATGTGGACATTTGAATAAATTAACCTGAGATACAGTCTAATCTTTAAACCTATAGCATACATACACAGATTCCATGTTTCTTGGCCTGTCTGTTCACCATCTATAAATACTTGTCCTTAAATCCTCATGTCTCAGCTTCTCAGATATTTGACTCTTTGCTGTCACTCCATAATTTTATACACATTCTAGGTTTTCTTCTGGATGACTCATCGCATCTGGAGAATAAGGGTCTCCTGGGTTGGTGTGGAAAGGGGCAGGGCTTAGCTGCTTCATAGCTTCTGTTTATTTTGTCTTGTGGTCCTTCCCTTCCACTTCTTCTGTCTTTCTTCTTTTCCTCCTGTCCTCTTTCCTCTGCTCTTCCTCTTTCTCCTCTCCTTGCCAGCCACAGCTGGGAAACCTATTGCAGGTAAACCGGACCCTGGGCCGGAATGTGCCTCTAGCCTCCCAGCTCATCCTGATGCCTAACGGGGCGGTGGCTGCAGTCCAGCAGGAGGTGCCATCTGCTCAGTCTCCGGGAGTTCATACAGATGCAGATCAGGTCAGTGGCCACCACTTGACCTGGGGGTGGGACTGGGGAGGAAGAAGGGTGCACCGGGGACCAGGCCCACCCTACCAGCCCGTTACTCCTTTTCAGATTCTTTTTTGCTTGTGTTTCTTTTTCTTAATTTCCGTAGAATCTGGATCTCTTACAACTGTTGAGTTGATGTGAGCTGGAAGGGGAATAGCAGTGAGTTGAAAACAACTCTATGGACTTGGGGAGCCTCAGTCCCTGCACAGGGCAGGTTTCCTTACTCTTCTTTTAGCCGTTCAAGGCTTATTTTATTCAGAAGTCTTATTCTCTCTCCTTGCATTAGTGTCTTCGGAATATAGGGGCTCGGTGAGGGAATTCTGTTACGGATATGAAACTGACCTGCTGGGTTGACTCCTCTGAGTGACGGTAGCTTTCAGCTTTCACCTGTCTGTTCCTGCGTACCGTGCTCCCAAAAAAGTCTTTCTCACCATTGTCTCCTGTACCTTCTCTAATATATAGTTGAACCTGAGTGTCTTATCTTGTGGATTGGTAGCGTCATCAGTAGGACCTGTGTCACCTCAGCAAATGATTTAACATCTTTTGATGAAGCACAGGTTTCTTCCTCTGTAAAATATCTACTATGGAGAAACTATTTCGGGGTATGTTGTGAGGACTAAATGTGTTGATATGCGAAGGCGCTTGAAGAAGGCAACTGTTAACTTCATTTGGACACATATCAGACCTCTCTGAGCCTTGAATGTCTTGGACAGTCATGCTCACTAGACTGGCAGAGGTTCCAGGTCATCAAGGCACCCTCTGAATGGTGTATTAATTGATTCACTAGTAGGTACAGAGTGTTCTGAAAACATAAAAAGAGACCTAGTTTTCCTTTGGGATGGGGATAGATGCCAGTAAGAAATGACTGAGGTGGTGACATTCAGATTGGGGCCTGTGGAAGCTGTTGCGGGAGGAGAGTGTTGTTAGCAGAGGATCTCATGTCCACACCTGGGAAGGGCAGGAGCTTTATATGATTGAGGAATTGAAAGAAGACCCACCTTCTGCAGTTTGGCAAATAGAATGGGAGGGGGAGCAGTATCCGAATCTTATAGGACCTTAGGGACTGTGTGTGTAGCAATTTGGGCTTCAGGCAAAGGGCAGTGGAAAACAATGAAGTAAATTAGAGAACTTTGAGATAAGGGCTCGGCTTCCATATGGATATAAATGAAAATGGTTGTGAGTGAATGTAGGGAGGATGAGTACCACAGCTTGGGTGAGAGACATTGACTTGGGCAGGTACCAGTGGAGATGGACAGAAATGAACAGATTTGAGAAAAATTTAGAAAATCATTGAAAACGGAGTACTGGGGTAGCTGAGGGAAGTGCTGGAGGTGGTGAAGCCTGACAGCAGTGAGGTGGCTAGCACTGCCATTAGGTGTTGGAGAGTGGATTTAGGGTGAAGCTCGCTTTTGGATGTGTTGATTTGGAAATGCCTGTGGGCCTTCCATGAGGTGATGAGGGGTCATTGGTCTTGTATGTTCGAGCTCACTGCAGAGATCTGAGCTGGAGGGAAATATTTAAGCATAGCTGGCATGTAGTGGCCGATGAGATGGTGCTTATAAAGATAGTGCTTAAGAAGCAGCCTCCGGGTTGGAGATAGTGCAGGTCAAGATCAAGTAGAGGGCGATGGGCTGACAAAGGGTAGTAGGAAAAAGTGACAGGCAGGAAAATCTGGAATGTGTGATATCATGGGGATGGGGAACAGAATATTTCAGGAAGTGGCAGGTCTGAGTGGATCGGTCCCGTGTCACAGCAGTTGAGAAGGCGGGCAAGAGGGATTACTAATGTGAGCGGAGAAGTGTTTCTGTGGAGCTGTGGGGTCGAACCCAGAGTAGCGTGAGTGAAAGAACGACTGGATGGAGGGAACAGATGCGGTGAATGTGAACGTGATTAAGAGTTTCAGTAACAAGAAATGAGGCAGGGGCAAGCGTGGTGAACATTACGTTCAGGCACTGTTCAGTCAAGGAGACATGGAGGAAACAGCAGAGGTTGGTCACTGAGTTTTTTGTGGAAGAGGCATGGGCTCCTGAGCTTGGAAAGGATTGTACTTTGGTAGGAGGAGGGACAGAGGGAGAGCTGGGAGAAGTGTCTGGGGCCTGGTATGTAGCCTGGTAAATTGGAGGTGGAACTGATGAAGCACCATCCCCCATGTGGTTTTATTGTCCCTGCAGGGGTGGAGAGGAAGTGGCTTGAATTAAAGGCAGAGTAGGAAGACTTTAAGTAGCCATTATGGAAAGGAAACTGATTAGGAAAAAACGAATTGCCAGATCGTATTAAGGGCCCCAGCACCCAGTTCTGATGATTCTTGTAAATACCTCTCAAAAGCTGTCACTTCCTCCTTACTGCTGCTGCCTGATTTCAGGTTCTTACTTTTCACCTGAATTGCTGTAATAGTTTTCTAACTGGTTGCTTGACTTCAGCCTTACCTACCTCTAGTCCTCTGCCACATTCCTATCTGAATACGTGTACATAAGAAGATACAAGCTGTTAACTGTGCTCCTGCTGTATACAATTTAATAAAACATAGTCCTTGGCTCATGACACCCTCTTCTCGGTCCATCCATGGATCACTTTTATTTATTTATTCAGTAATTCTTAATATAATACAGTAAGCAGTCCCTAGTTCCCATTCACTGCCTGCTAGTAGTGATCAATTTGGTGCCAAGTGTCAGCCTTTACATAGTTTTATTGTGTTTACATGTAGTTCTTAAAAATGCTGTTTATCATGGAAAAATTCAAACCTATCTAAGGGAGAGAAAACCAGATTCCCTGTGTACTTACTTACCATCCACCTTCCACAAATACCAGCACAGGGCTTCTGTCCAGGCTGCTCCCCAGCTGGCAGGTTATTTAGAAGCAAATCTCTCAAACCATGTCTTTGTATACATTTCAAAATTTGTATCTAAATATGTAAGGTACTTATGCAGCATGCAATCATGTCGAGAATGCTTTCTTAGCATATTGTCAAGATTTATTTGTATTGGTCATGTCATTTTACTTTATTAACTTTGATTTCTGTGTAAATCCCATGTGTAAATATATTATATTCAATTTGTTTGTCTTTTCGGATAATGGCCATTTGGGTGGTTCCCATGAGTCCTCTGAGCAGTGGACATGCTTATATGTGCCTCCTGTTTTATAGAGCAAGAGTTTCTCTTGTGGAATTCCTGGGTTAAAGAGTGTATGAAGGTTTACTTTCAGGATATATTGCCAAATTATTTTCCAAAGTGACTACTGTACTTCTAGCAGTTTAAAAAGAATGGTTTTAAATACAGTTTTGATTTATTCTGATTAATATGTGGCTTCCCATTGTCAACTAAGTGCTTCTCATTTCTTCTCTATTCATATTTTGGAGTAAATACTCCAGTACTGCGTGTCAGGCACTGAGCCTAGTTGCTGGGAATGTAACAGTGAATAAGACATATGGACTTTGTTTCCCAACTACAGTTTAGACTCTCCTTGTTTTAACACACCAGGCCTTTCGTTATCTGGTACCCTTTTGCCACCCTGACCTCAGCCTACCTTCCTAGCTTTGTTTCTTGTCACTCCTTCTAACTCACCCCAAATATAATGAAATACTTCTAGCTTACAAAGATGATGTGCACTTTCTTGGCTCCATAATTTTGCAGATGTCATTACTGGTGTCTGAAAACCCAGTTTCTAGGATTACCAGTGCTTCTCAGATGGCACATCCGGTGTTTTGGGAATGTTCTGCACTCTCCCTCGAGCTCCTCGTCCTCCTTGGTGCTCCTGCGCAGATCTGTGCATTGTATAATACGGTTCTTGGGGAATCTTGTCTTTGTTCTCTAGTAGAAAGTTCTCATGAATAGCAGAGGCTGTGTCTTCACTTCTGCATTCCCAGTATCCAGTATAGTACCTGACACGTTAAGTAGTATTTGGGGAGGTTGAATGAATGAATGGAGAGGAGAGGGAAAAATCTGAGACATTTTGAAGGAATAAACGACCAAAGTTGATGGTACATTTGTTAAGGAATGAAAGATGTTGAAAAATCAAATTTGATTCTAGAGTTCCTCCCTGGGTACATGAAACATCTTTCATGTACATGTGGAAAAAATGGGGGTAGAGTGGAGGTGGGCTGTGGCTGTAGAGTATGAAACTAGAACTATTTTGCTACTCTAGAAGCAAGGTCTTTAGAAGTCTTTGATTTTCGGTCCCCATTTTCTCAATCTCTTCATTTTCTTGTCTTTCAGGTGCAGAATTTGGCAGTGAGAAACCAACAGGCCTCAGCCCAAGGACCCCAAATACCAGGCTCTACTCAGAAGGCCATTCCTCCTGGAGCCTCCCCTGTTTCTAGCCTCTCCCAGGCCTCTAGCCAGGCCCTTGCTGTGGCTCAGGCTTCCTCTGGAGCCTCAGGCCAATCCCTCAACCTTAGTCAAGCTGGTGGAGGCAGTGGGAATAGTATCCCAGGGCCCATGGGTGCAGGTGGAGGTGGCCAGGCGCCTGGGGGTTTGGGTCAGTTGCCATCCTCAGGAATGGGTGGAAGCGGGAGCTGTCCCCGGAAGGGCACAGGAGTAGTGCAACCCTTGCCTGCAGCCCAAACCGTGACTGTGAGTCAGGGCAGCCAGACAGAAGCAGAGAGTGCAGCAGCCAAGAAGGCAGAAGCAGATGGCACTGGTCAGCAGAACGTGGGCATGAACCTGACACGGACGGCTACCCCCGCTCCAAGCCAGACCCTCATTAGTTCAGGTAAGCTGTCGCCTCTCGCAGGTGCTTTTTGTGTCGGAGTTTGTTTGCTGTCTTGTGGAATGTGGTTTTTTGCCCTTTTTTCCTTCCTCTCTTGATTGTGGATAGTAGACAGAAAGATTCCTCATCAGTCTTCATCTTGTTAGTTTAGGCAGACGGGAGGACAGAGAATAGACCACGTTGCTGCTCCCGCCAGGCGACAGTGTGCAGGTGGCCTTGTCCGCTTTCTTAGGCCTGCAGTCTTCAGGCCAAAGTCTTAAGTACAGTTTCCCACTGTACCAGCGCATTCACTCAGTTTACTGAGTTGCCTGTAGCTACCTGTGAAGTGCTGGAGACACTTCTGTGAAAAACAGATTTCTGTCCTCAGGGAGTGTACGATTTAGCATAATGGATGTGTTCTCCCTCCCTGTCTCATGGCTAGCTGGCCCCATGTAGAGTAGAGATAGCATCAGTGGTGTCAGGCAGTTAGGATGAGCAGATAGAGCCAGGACTTGACAGAGTCAGCTGGTGATCACCAGTATCAATGATGAGGATAAAAAAAGAGTAGGAATCATTATAACCCAGAATGGTTTATGCTGCTGGCTCTAGTCAGATGTGTGCACCTTACTTGGTGATGCTTACTTGGCCTTCCTTACATCTAGCACTTTAGTTACTAGTTACTGTATTTGGATAATTTACTACAAAAAGTCACTTAGTTATTGGCTGTAATGTTAATACCTAGCACTTACATATAATAGCACTTGTGTTTCCAAAGGGCTTTCACCTTACATGTGTTCTCTGGGCAGTCTGGGAGAGAGTAGAAGGTGCAGACTGTCAAGTTCAGTTCACAGTGGCGGAGACTGAGTAATGTCGCAGCTCCAGCTGCTGCCTCTTACCACTTCCATAGTAGGTGTGACCTAAACTGGTGAATTTTAAAAATGGTTCTTTTTTTTTTTAAATGGACACATTATGGGCAGTGCTGGGATCTTTACCACAGCAGACGTCTTCCTTGCTAGGGATGTAAACCTTAATAAAATGTGGACTCAGCCTTTGAGGAATTCAGCATGTAATCATATAGAGGTTGGGCCCACCATTCTGAGTAACAGGATTTAGGAAAAGCAGAAAAGTTTAAAGGCAGGTAAATACAAGAAATTACCAAGGGGGCCTCCCTGGTTGCTCAAGGGACTATCAAGCTGTCTGCAGCCACTACAGCAGGAGTTCAATCCCCAGCCAGGTTGCTGACTCACATGGCGCAGCAGATCTCTCCTGTCTCCCCCCCTGCTCCCCTCAGTAGTGAATTTAGGTCCATCTGCCTGTTCTGCTCCCCACTCTGTCACTGGTGAATCCTCTCACCCCACACCTTTGGCGTCTCTGTCCTGTACCTCAGTTCTTGTATGCATAATAAATGTATCTTGAAAAGATAATTACCAAGGATAGTTCAGTGACTGAATAAGGAAAGTCTTTCCTCGAGATCTTTCAGCCTAGAGGTAGGTGGTACTGTCTGACTTGGAAAAGGGGTGAGTGGGTTAAACTCTTGCTTCATCCCAACCAGGATCTCCACTCACTATGATTCCAAAGGTGATTTTACTTTTAGTTTCTAATGATGCTCATTTTCTGCTCTATTTCTGTTCTTTGTTCCACTCTGGGATTCTTGTAGCCACCTACACACAGATCCAGCCTCATTCACTGATTCAGCAGCAGCAACAGATCCACCTCCAGCAGAAACAGGTGGTGATCCAGCAGCAGATTGCCATCCACCACCAGCAGCAGTTCCAGCACCGCCAGTCCCAGCTGCTCCACACAGCCACACACCTCCAGCTGGCGCAGCAGCAGCAGCAGCAGCAGCAGCAGCAGCAGCAGCAGCAGCAGCAGCAAGCCACAACTCTCTCTGCCCCTCAGCCACCACAGGTCCCGCCCACTCAGCAGGTCCCCCCTTCCCAGTCCCAGCAGCAAGCCCAAACCTTGGTTGTTCAGCCCATGCTTCAGTCGTCACCCTTGTCCCTCCCACCTGACCCAAGCCCCAAGCCCCCCATCCCCATCCAGTCCAAACCACCTGTTCCTCCGATCAAGCCTCCTCAGTTAGGGGCGGCTAAGATGTCAGCTGTCCAGCAACCGCCACCCCACATCCCCGTGCAAGTTGTGGGCACCCGGCAGCCAGGCACAGCTCAGGCCCAGGCTTTGGGCTTGGCCCAGCTGGCAGCCACTGTCCCTACTTCCCGGGGGATGCCAGGTGCAGTGCAGACTGGTCAGGCCCATCTGGCCTCCTCGCCACCTTCGTCCCAGGCGCCTGGTGCGCTGCAGGAGTGCCCTCCTGCTATGGCTGCTGGGATGAGCCTTGCTCCTGTACAGGGCACAGCACAGGTGGTAAAGAGTGGGGCTACCACCTCTTCCCCTGTTGTCGCCCAAGTCCCTGCTGCCTTCTACATGCAGTCTGTGCACCTGCCGGTGAGTGATGTCTGACAATTTTGAGGAACCTGTTACCCTTGAGAATAGAGCTGGGGTTTCTGGAAATAGAACTTAATTCAGTAGGAGCATAAAGACTCGAGAAGAAAGGCCTTTTTGGTGGCCTAGGGTCAAATCTCAGCACTATCACCACACCTGACCCACAGCAGACCTCTCTTGTCCTGCCCACTGTATTTCAGTCAGTCTGTCTGTTCTGCTCCCCACTCTGTCTCTGGTGAATCCTCTTACCTCCTGTGCTTTTGGCCTGTATCCCAGTTTTATGCAAAAAAAAAGAGTTGAGAAGGCTAAGATACTGGTATTGACCTCCTTTTGTAAGAGAGAAACTCGGCCCTCCCTGGTGGCGCAGTGGGTTAAAGCACAGCACTGAGAAGCTAAAGCCACTTCCGCATGAGTTCGATTCCCGCCTGCCCCGGAGGTGACCACATGGCGGGGCAGACCTCTCCGGGCCCACCCGCTGCTCCCCTCAGCAGTGTACTTCGTAGATCTGCCTGTTCTGCTCCCCACCACTAACTCTGGTGAAGCCTCTCACCGCCCCTGAGTTTCTGGCCTGTACCCCAGTTCTGTATGTACAAATAAAAAATAAATTAAAAAAAAAAAAAGAGAAACTCATGGAAGGTTAATATACTAATATGCTCCACTTGTAAAGGGAGAGGCATTAATGTCTATGCTATATGAATTTTGTACTCCTAAATTCACTACTGAAATAACGGTGTTGTAGATCTGTATTAAGTTGAATCACGATAGCCTTCTCCTGAATTCATCCTGAGATGAACAATAGTTCTTGGTGGGTCCATAAAGGATCCTGGGTCTGTATGCCAGGACCAAAGAATATGGCATTTGCTGACATAGAAGTCACACTTCTTGGGAATGGCCAGGAAAGCATGAGGCGGAAGTATACAATTTGGAGAATCTTCAGTGAAGAGAGGATGGGACCACAGTGGTTCCTTATTACCCTTCACTCATAAATCTTGGTTTCTTTCCCATTTTTTCACTTTGTAGGGCAAACCCCAGACCTTGGCTGTCAAACGCAAAGCCGAGTGTGAGGAGGAGAGAGATGATATCTCTACATTGAGTTCGGTGCTTCCCACCAAGGCGTCTCCAGCAGCAGAGAGCCCGAAGGCCATGGAGGAGAAGAGTAGTCTTGGAGGTGAGTGACTGGTTTCCTCAGCACTGCGGGGGAGGACACAGGGCTCAGAGGAATGGTCTAAGTAGCTAAAAGATAAATCCTCCTTAGTAGAATACAGGCCTCAACTTGGGGGTGTGTAAGTATATCCAGAGGGCATGATCAGAGGTAACTAGCTATTACTGTGAGCGATCAGGCTGGCTTGGCTAAAAGCCGGGTCAGTTATGCTATCCCCACATCTGTCCCCTAACCTGTGTTTATTTTCCAGAGAAAGCTGAGCCAGTGACCAGTGTGAATGCAAATACCCCAAGCAGTGAACTAGGAGCCTTGGCTCCGGCTCCGGCAGCACCACCGCCTACGCTGGCCATGGTGTGCAGGCAGATGGGTGACTCCAAACCCCCACAGGCCATTGTGAAGCCCCAGATTCTCACACACATCATTGAAGGCTTTGTCATCCAGGAAGGAGCAGAACCTTTCCCGGTGAGGGCAGGACCATAAGGGGCACTTTTAAGTGGGTACTTGGTCTGATCCTTAACTTCAAACTCCTGCTAAGTACAGAAGACTCAGGACTGTGTATTTACTAACAAAGGGTTAATTTTGCTGTAGATTTGGTGCATTGTAAAGAAGGAAGGGAGAAGGAAAGAGCTTGTGGACCTGAAAATAAAAATGTTGAGAAGAAAAAAAAAAAAAAAGAACAAAGTGACCCACACAGCCACCTGCTAGGTGGTTTGACAGTGAAGACCGTGGTGTAGTGAAGGCTTGGCCAGTCTGACTTGTAGAGCCATGGCTAAAACACAGGTGTCAAGTGGCCTTCTCTGCCACTTGGGAAGGACAAGGACCAAGTAGGGAGCTGGGGTAGGAGCTTGTTCTCCAGTAGTTTATCTTAAAAAGCCAGGTAGAGACTTCAGGGGCCCTGTTTGATAAGGTTCTGACTGAACCAGAGGTGGATCTCTGCCTCTTTCTAATGCAGAGATCCAGGCAGCGACACATTGGTGAGGAATGCTGGGGAAAGCTACAGAGAGGCAGAAGGGAATTCGACTGACTTACCAGTGAACTTTTTCCGGGACAGGTGGGTTGTTCTCAGTTACTGAAAGAGTCTGAGAAGCCACTGCACACGGGCCTCCCGCCAGGGCTGAGTGAGAATCAGTCAGGCGGCCCCGTGGGTGGGGCCAGCCCATCTGCCGGTGAGTATGTGTGTTAGGCCCTCCTGGGGGAGGGGGCTCTCGAGATGTGCGAGGACACCGTGAAGTCATTATCATCTCTGTGTACACATGTAAACTGAAGCCTGTCTACACATATAAACTGCTATATATATCACAAGATTGTAGAGTCACACAAAAGTTGCTCCACAGATTAGGGAGTTTTAGCAAGTTAAAGTAACTTGTTGAATTATTTACTATGAGGATATATATTCTAAAAGATGGTCTAAAACGACATTTCTTAGTTTCTAGTGTTTTTTTTTTTCCTTTGTCTAGATAGACTAGATAAATTATAGTAAGGGCTCTGCTGTTGGAAACCTTGGTGAGAGAGGTATCTTTTATCTTCTAGGCATTCATAATTCGCTCCTTTCTCCTCTGCAGAAATTCAGTCCTGTCTGAAAACTAAGAATGTGGAATAGGAAAAAATTAGTCATAGAACATAGAAATGGTCAGGCTTAAAGCTAGGGAGGCTGTGACGCTCCAGAGGGACAAGTCTTTATAGTTTTGGATTTGGGACTTTGTTTTAGGGATTCTTGATTAGGTTGTGTGTTCTTGGGGGCAAACCCTGAGAGTAATTAGAGTCCTGCTTTGGGCCTGCTGATGGCCACTCTCCAGTGATGCCTTGTTTTCAGAGCTAGATAAGAAGGCAAACCTTCTGAAGTGTGAGTACTGTGGGAAGTACGCGCCTGCAGAGCAGTTTCGAGGCTCCAAAAGGTTCTGCTCCATGACCTGCGCGAAGAGGTACTGCTGCCCCCCCTCGCCTTTGCACTGGTTCCTCCAGCTCACGTGCGTCCTTCCCTTCCCAGGGGCATCTCACAGCTGGCATTTCCAGTCAGCTCTTAAATGTCAGTTCACATTTAGTGTAGGGCAGCAAGGTAGTCTTCTTTGGCACCTTGGACAGCTTACATGTGCCCTGCAGGTATAATGTGAGCTGTAGCCACCAGTTCCGGCTGAAGAGGAAAAAAATGAAAGAGTTTCAGGAAGCCAATTACGCTCGTGTTCGCCGGCGCGGACCCCGTCGCAGCTCCTCAGATATCGCCCGCGCCAAGATCCAGGGCAAGCGCCACCGGGTGAGCTTGTGCAGAGCCAGCCACCTGTCAAGCATGCCTTTTTTCTTCCTCTTCCCACATGGGCATTGCCTTTGCCCGGATAAAAGAGCAGGAGACCAGAATCTGGTTTCCTGTTGATGGCATTACTCCATAATCCAAGAGATCTTTACCCCCTTCCCAACACCCTGTGTCTTGTCTCCTTCCACCTGATTACTGGTCCATGTATCCCTTAATCCACACGTCAAACTTGAGTAGAGAAAATCCAGGTCAGTTGTTGATAGCAGGTGAGAATTAAGAAAGCAATAAAGTTTATACTTAAAAGGCACTGGAGAGACTAGTGATCTGGGACATTTGAAAAGGAAAGCACTAATTGTGTCGCTGGTGGTAAAATTAGTTTTTCCACTATGCCCAATACTATCCCAAATCCACGGTGGCTGGGCAGGAGAGAGGGAAACTTCAGGACAGGTAGGTCTCACTGCTCGGCTGTTTCCTCTCTAGGGTCAAGAAGACTCTAGCCGGGGTTCAGATAATTCCAGTTATGATGAAGCACTCTCTCCGACGTCTCCTGGGCCTTTATCAGTGCGAGCGGGGCATGGAGAGCGCGACCTGGGGAACTCCAACACAGCTCCGCCTACTCCCGAGTTACATGGAATCAACCCCGTGTTCCTATCCAGCAACCCCAGCCGTTGGAGTGTAGAGGAGGTGTATGAATTCATCGCTTCCTTACAAGGTGAGGGCTCCTCCAGCAGAACTTGGCCTGCAGGCCAGCTTCTCCCGTGTCTGCCTGTGCAGGCTGTGTCAGGACAGACCTGTCTTTTCAGCAGTAGGACTTTGAGCACTTGAGAGGCTCCACGTGTTCATCCTGCTCGCCCACTTTCTTCACAGACTGTCCTCTCACGCCAGCAATTTTGCAATGTTTGATTTTTGTCACTTCTGATCTAGCCGTTTCTTACCAGTCATTTTTGGATAAGGCGTATTTGTGCAAGTATGTATGTTTCAGTAGTCGGTTCTTTAGAAAGTATTTTATGTGCAGCTGAAGGCCATTACAAGTTTATCAGCACTCAGCACAGCTACCGAAGGGCCTTACACTGGCCGTTCTTTGGGCAAGAAGTGGGAGTCTTTTGATGTGACCTGTGGACGCTAAAGTGTCCTTGCTGTGTGACTGTGACAGCCACATGGATAAGGGTCCATTTTCAGTGGTTAGGAAATACGGACCCATTGTTCCCCTGTTGTCTTCAAGGCAGGACTGTTGAGCTATTCTTGCTAGAGGTGATTTTGGCTTTATCCAGAAAAGGAAACCACTGTACCTTTGCTATTTGCTGGAATTCAGGGCCCTTAAACAAAATGACACCAATGCTCTTTACTTTGATATTTTTGCCAATATGGAAGAAAACAATGTATTTGCTCCCTGTCATTTCTCTTCCTCAGGCTGTTGGGCTAAAGTTATTTCTGTGGTTGAGTAACTGAGCTGTTCCTTTTTTGATATGGGCTCACTTTTTTTTTAAGTAGCCAGTTGTTCTTGGTGATGTCATTCTGCATCCAAAGCTTGCCATCTCAGACCTTTGTCCTTGAATTTAGGATAAGTGGTGTGGGATGAACTGTTGGTGGGTCTGTTTTTCATCTTTATTTTCCCTTCTGCCCCTGGTGCAACCTGCAGGCTCTCATACCTATTCCACCGTTCCCTCCTAGGCTGCCAAGAGATTGCAGAAGAGTTTCGCTCCCAGGAGATCGATGGACAGGCCCTTTTGTTACTTAAGGAAGAACACCTCATGAGTGCCATGAACATCAAGCTGGGCCCTGCCCTTAAGATCTGCGCCAAGATAAATGTCCTCAAGGAGACTTAAGGAGGCCTCTTGCACAAGCAGCCTAAGGCAGACACTCCCCTGTCCAGGTTATAACCTGGAACCAGCAGACTCTACCGGGAAGAGCTGTTTCAACTGTGTACATCTTCTTTGAGGGGCTCCCGGAGACAGGGACAGAGTTGTCCAAGAATTAGTTGCTGGTGCTACATGGCGGCAGCTTTGACATTTTCTCTGGGTTCTACTTTGTTTTCAAAAGAACCTTTATACTTCTCACCTACCCTAATCCAATCTTGAAGAGGCAGTCTAGAGATCTAGGCCTGCCCAGCCTTATCCTGGAGTGCAGTGTCTAGCCAGGGTCTTTGTTCTCTAAGCGGAGGAATATATATACAGTATGGTAACGCAAGAAATGGGGGCATTGTAGGTGTGCCTCCCCTGTGGAGAGGTAGGGACACAGTAGCAAAATCTGGTACTCCCTTACCCCTCCTTCTGGATTGTTCAACTGTAGCTGTGGCCCGGAATTTTCGTTGTCGTCACTCACCCCTTTAGTATTGAATATTTTCTCCTGCATCCATGGCAGGGTCACCAGCCAATTGAGAGACGTGGTTGGCATCATTCTGATTTGCTGCAGGGACTAAAAGTGTTTGGCACACGTGTGGCTGTTGTCATTCTTTCTCTCTCCTCCCGCCCCCTTCCACTTTGTTGTCCTCCACCCTAACTTCAGTCCCAACCCTGCTGTCTAATAGCTTTATGACCAGGAGTGTGTGGGCCCACGCCAGGAGTGCAAACACCTGCCTGCGGCGCTGTTCTTTATACAAGAAAAATATTAAATATTTTTTCCCACTTCATTGGAAGGTGAACATTGGTCTCAGTTGTCACTACTGCATCCTGTATCTCTACCCTCTCCACACAAACGACAGGCCAGCATGTTTTGTATTTTTTTAATCTTTTATGTGTTTTTGTACAAAAGTGTAGGGTTTTTTTTAAACACCAGTGTAGGGGAGGAGCCAAACAAATAACAAAGATGCTTTTATAACATTATTTTCCCTGTTTAGAAAGAGAAAAAAATCATTCCAACAGTATTTAAAGTCCAAAATGAAATAATTTTTCATTTCTAAAGGCTTATAAAAGGCTCCTGCCTGCTGATCCCATTCCCCTCACGTTCAGTGGAGCCATGTTTACTCTTCAGTGCCCCAGGGGTTCACTACTAGTGAAAGATTAGGCCAGGTTTCCAGACACATGGCCTAAAGAGAAAGGTGGAAGCATGAGAGGGTTTAAAATCTCCCCATCCAATGGCTGTGGGGAAGATTCTTCCCTGAGCTAGAAGGAGGGAGAGGTACAGCACTCCCACCCAGCGAGGATGGAGAGCCTGACATGTCCCACTTCTGCTTCCATTCCCTTTCTAGAAGATTGAGAAAAAAAGTCAACATGACATGCCTGTGAAGAAAGTGCAACATATTTAGAAAACACTGGCAGAGGGAAGCATGTCAGGAGTGAGAAGCTGGGCCAGCTTGTACTGCAAGTGGGAGAAGAAAGCCATCAGACATCCCACTATAAGGTAAACAGACTTCCCTCCTTCCAGAACCCCTGCAGCACAGGAGGCAGGAGGCTGGTTTCAGTTTCCCTTTCCGATGGACTAGACGTCTAGGTTAGGCATCTAGGCTACAAATGGACCAATAACCGCAGACCACAATCCAGGGCCCAATTCCAACTCTGAAGAAGTCACTCCTGAGCCACCAAGTACCTGACAAGCCTGTAATGGCAATGTTCATTTTCCCCATCCTAATCCCAGAGGTGGCAGAAGCAAGTTTCTAGAACGTCTCCAATTCACACCAATTGGCAGTACTTGGGTCATAACCAAGTTAATCACTAAAAAGCAGTTCTAAGCAGCACGAAATTACATCCAGATTCTCATGGAGACTACTGTAGGGTACAGAGTAACAGCATGAAAGCAATCAAGCCATGTATAAATAATGTTTCTTGGCCTATTTTTTTTTTTTTTTAATTCCAGTGTCTCAAAAACTTGTGAAAATATGTTTAAAGAAAGGGTCAGGTAGCCTGCCACACGCTCTTGTTCCCTGCAGCTGTCCGTCCTACTTGTACCTTCTGATACCCAGAATGTGCAACAGCCCTGCGGTCGTAGGCCCCACTTACTTTTTGTCCTACACTGTGCCTCTCAAAAACAGAAAATAGGGAAGAAAGGGAAGGCATTTCTACTATGAGAAGATGCAAATCGAAAGCAAGAGCAATAGTAAGGATGAGATGAGAGACCGGAGTAGAGCCTGCTTGAGAAATCTGGCTGAGTACGCTTTGGTTTGGGGGACTGAAGAAGCAGCTGGACATTTAAAGTGCAATCACATTGGTAATAAATGATCATCCCTTTCTTCTGACTCCTCTCCCAGCTGGTCATCCCCCACACCACGGTACGCAGCAGGCACATTTCGGGGTTTAGAACGGCATACAAAGTCACAACCATCCTGTAGGGAAGAAAGCAAAGGAAGAAAATGAGAATTTGTAATAACCAATTAATGGTAAGGGAAAGCATAGCTTAAGGCAGGAAGTAGTTTTCCCTGAGGATGATGAAAATCCAAAAGCTCCAAGGATCAGCCTAAACTTAATTTAGGGTAAACAAGAAAGAGTCTAATTGGGCTTACCTTCTCCCCATTCCAACTCTTTAAAAGTTATGAGATCGCTAAATCTAAGCCACGGTGTTTCTCTTACAGTCTAGACTTTTAGTCCCTCTAAATCTGTACTATTTATTTTGTCCAGGGCAACCAACTATCCTGGCTTGCTGTGTCTTTTGTAATTTTAACACAAAATCTGGTGTCTCAGAGAAACCTTCTGGGCAAGCCAGGAGAGTTGTCACCCAACCTTTACATAGGTCAGTGGCCCAGCTACTTACTGCTACCAGGTTGCCAAGGTCCTGCCAGAAGGCCAAGTGGGGAAACTGCTCCATTCCCTTGGCGCCCACCACCAGTCGCTGGTACAGGAAGCCCCCAATAATGTAGACAGCAACCAGTGATGCCAGCCTGTGAAGGAGGAAAGACATCCACACTTAAACCCAAATACAAACAAACCAGTAGAACTCAGACACAGAACTCTATCTTCTTGGTTAGCTGTTTGCTGTGTCATATGAAAATAAAAGGGCTGTGATGTTAAATGATAAAGGGGACTGACAGTTTCTTTAGAAAAACCAAACAACATTTTCAGACAGAAAAGTAAAAGGTTCAGGAAAAAAACTGTAGTCAAGCACAATCACCATCAGCTATGAGACTATTTGTCCCAGCTTCTAATACTCTAGTGGGATAACTAGAAACATTTCAGCTCGTTAGTAGGGAAGAAAATGCAAATATTTATCGGGGGGGGGGCATTAAAATCCTATTTGTAATTTGTAACTTGCATAGTCAGAGTTAAGAGTTTCACAAAAAGTTCTTCCCCACAGTTGTGTATTACACACACATTCACAAACAATTCATGCTCGTATATCACCAAGTAATTTAGGTCTCTCACGAAAAAGGCAGATTTGGACCGATGGTAAGAATACTCACGTGATGAGTAAGATAGATCCCACACTGAGGTGAGAGATCTCTGGGGAACAGGCCAAGCTGCTATCCATCTCAAAGAGGTACAAACAATCTTGGACTTTACCTCGCTCCTCAGACACAGGGTTAAAATTATCCTGATGGATGAGAAAGGACAGAACACACTCATGTGGCAAAGTGACTTAAGAGAAACCCCACAAAATCCAAAGAATGTCAGCTTCTGCTCATATCAACCACCTATTTTCCATGTATGATGCAAGATGGAAGCCCGTGACAGGGAAAAGCTGAACTGCCAGTTTCTTCTTAGGCAGCCCAGTGCAGCCTGATCCCGCGCTAAAAGCTCTCCCACCTCAGGTCAGCCCTCTCCTCTCTAGGCTCATAGGCCCCGGGTGCCTCACCGCTAGGGTGTGTCGATTGCAGGAGATCATCACCACTGCACGCCGCTGCTCCCGGCCACAGTGCCTGTCATATTCATCACCCCCTTTATAGATCAGCATGATCCAATTACCTGAGGAGGGAGAGGGAAAAGGCAGCCATGGGGTGGGGGAAAGCAGAGGCAGACCTGGGGAGTACATGGGCTAGAATTCGAATTGCCCTCACAGCGTGAGCTCTGAAAGCAGAAATACCAAGTGAAAACTGGCTTCTTTATGGTAGCTGTGTGTTAAGAGAATGATATTTTCATAGAGGCATCTTAATCTTCCACATTTAAATCTGGGAACTGATCATGCAAAAATACTATGATCTGTATCTTTACCACAGCTTCGACACCTGCTAACCTCCAGAGAGGCAGTTTGATGCAGATACTGGGTAGTAGGGAAAGCCTAAGATTTAAAATTAGTAACAGATTAAGTTGAACATTTTTTAAGATTGGAAGACCGTTTGTCAGTGTTTACTGCATTCGAATTTCTTTTGAAACATTTCATTCGATTCAACAAGCATACGAGGTGAATAAGGCAGGATTCTGCTTCCAATGTTGCACAAAAGCAGCAGAATCCTAAGGTGAAATTATTTTTCTTAGGACAAGTAAATATGATGAACTGGGTTAAAAGTCCAGTCTTCTGACCCTCAGCCCCAAAGTCTTTAAATTATTACTTATAGGAGCAAATGCCTGCACTGGGTCATTTAGTTATTCACTTAGTAAGGGAGGGAACTGGGCCATTGGTGCTCACTTGGTTCTTTCCAGCAGTAAGATTTTTATGACTTTTGAGAAATAACACAACAAGTTGGGGCGAAATCTTTATAGACCAGTTGGTTTATCAAACAGCCTAATCTAAAATTTAATCAGGAAAGTCTGATGAATTTGGTCAGAAATGGTAGTAGTTGGTATCTTCAAGTCTAGCATGAAAAACTGACATATTTGGGTGAATAAAAGGATTCCAGGTTATTAGTTCCAGCTGGAATGCTTTTTCCATCAGTTTTTCGCTAACTTTAAAACAAACACCTCAGTGTCCAAGACCTTGCTCCGAGTCAAGGTGGAACTAGGTATCTGTTTCAGGTGTGCTGCACCACACACATCTCATGGCAAAATGAAGACACTGGGAAAGGCTGAGACATTAAGAATTGCCAGAAGGATTGACCTGCAACCAACAGGGAAAGTCTTACTTCCATTGAAGATGTGAGTCTCATTCAGTCTCCCTACCACCGTTTCCTTCCCGTTACTTTTGTTGATCTGCACCAGGCCTGCCCCAGAAGTGCGGTTGCTAGCTTCCCGGCACACCCTGAACAGGTAGATGTATGTGTCTGAGCCCTGGCCCACAGTGCTCTCAAAGCTGTAAGGAGAAAGGAGGAGAAGGAAACGGAGAGTTACTGGAGGTTGGCCTCAGAAGAACGGCCTCAAGTGCCATCATAATGCTGACTGACCACCCTAATGATTGGTGATGATTAATTAAAATGCTCCACCCACCACATCTAGACATTCAAGGCATTTCTAGAATACCTGCTCTGGATTAAGCTAGAATGTTTGACACCAATTCCCATGAATAAGAATCTATGTTCACGGGATACTCCCTTGTTCCTTAATCTTCAGATTTCTATATCTGAAAGCTCCTGATAATTACGACATATAGCGGCCTAAATATGTTTATCTGATCCTGCTAACATTCTATTATATGGAGTTGGCATCACGTACGGTCCTGCGCCACTCATAAGGACATTTCAGTCAATGGCGAGCCACACCTATGACGGTGGTCCCCAAACTCCTATTGCCCTGTGATGTGGTAACACACACCTCTGTACCATAGGAGCGACAGGAAGTTATGGATGATCCAGCCCCTCTGCCAAGCTGCCCTGTGAA